AATGCCTGTAATACTGGCAAAGATTTGAATATTTGCCAGTACATTGTGAAAATGTCCATACTGCCCAAAGTGATATACAAATTCAATGCAATCCCCATCAAAATTCCAATGACATTTTCTCAGAAATGGAAAAAAAAAAAAAACTATCCAGACATTTATATGGAATAACAAAAGACCACACATAGCCAAAGCAATGCTGACCAAAAAAAATAAAGCTGGAGGCATAACACTACCTGACTTTAAACTATACTACAAAGCTATAATAACCAAAACAGCATGGTACTGGCATAAAAACAGACACACTGATCAATGGAATAGAATAGAGAATCCAGAAATCAACCCACACACCTACAGCCATCTGATCTTTGACAAAGGCACCAAGCGTATACACTGGGGAAGAGACTGCCTCTTCAACAAATGGTGCTGGAATAACTGGATATTCATATGCAGGAGAATGAAACTAGACCCAAACCCTTCACCATATACTAAAGCCAACTCAAAATGGATTAAAGAATTAAATGTACACTCTGAAACAATAAAACTTCTTAATTGCTATCTTTATCTTACTCTTTTTTTTTTCTTTTTGTCTTTCTTCGTGACCAGCAACGGATCACAGCCCTCAGTGTCGCGCCCGTACCGGACCGGGACCGGCAAACGGGATCGCAACCCTCGGTGTTGCGCCCGCACCTCGCTCAGCCAGTGAGCGGGAACCGGTCTGTATGTGGGATCCGAACCCTCGGCGGGAGCACTGTTGCGCTCCCAAGCGGCGCACTATAGCATGCGCCACTGGGCCGGCCCTATCTTACTCTTTTTTTGAGGGTCATTTTGATGGAGTGGTTGCTACAATTCCTCAAGAGTGTGTTCCAAGTACAGAAGCACATTTAAGATGCTTAAAATGTGCCATTGTCTTCACAGTGATTTGAGCTTTTTCTGCCTGAAGGGGGCATTAATCCATAAAAGGAACACTTACCATTATTTTATTTCATCAATATTCAAGTTGGTAACTCACCAAAATTTAAAATGTAGTTTTCCTTAAGCTTTTAGGCTCAGCTTACAATCTTATTTTTTGTAAAAATAAAATGATCACTTTCACTTGTTTGATTAATACTCAGTTAACTCATAAATTTGATAGTATAAATTTCTCAAATATTAAATGCTATACACATAACTAATACATTTTAAATTTATTATTCATTTTCTCAAACATGTCAAGCATCTAACAATTCAGACTTACAAATCTGTCAAATGATATCTTCTTAACCTTTGCTAAGGACTGAATGTTTTTGTCCCACCCCCCCACAGTTATATATGTTGACGTTTTAATGTGATGGTATTTGGAAGGTACTTAGGTTATCAGTGTGGAGCCAATATGATGGGATTAGTGTCTTTATAAGAAACGAAAGAGAGCTGGCCCTCTCTGGGCCATGTGAGGATACAGTGAGAGGGCTGCTGTCTACAAGCCAGAAAGTGTCCCTCATCAGACACCAGATCTGGCCAACGCTTTGATCTTGGACTTCCCAGCCTCCAGAACTGTGAGAAATAAATATTTGTTACTTAAGTAACCCAATCTATGGTATTTTTTTATAACAGCCCAAACCAAGACAAGCTCTTAAAAAGAAATCTATTTTAATTTTTATTACATTTAGCTGGTATGTTTAGCCTATGAAATTACTTTAAATATTTCAAACATCTTAAAAAATAAAAAAATTAAGGAGTATACTTAGTGCAGAACAATAATTACAAACTCTGTACAATTCATTTCTCCAACCACGAGAATTTGGGTTCAAGTTGTAGGGAGGAAGGTGAAGAACTTTTCCAGGCCATTGGCCTCTAATTCTCTTTTACTGTAACTATTATGGAATATCTTGCATTCAATTCTAATGTGTACTATTGAAATCTTGTTTAGGCTCCAATTGCATGCCATATATAGGATTCTTAAGAGTTGCTCTCTATTGCTTGTGAAATCATGTCTAAGTTACCGTTAAGTCTGGACAGCACACTTCAGCTGGGACGTTGACACACTGGAGTATAATCATCACGATGGTGAAGGAAACTGAAACCATGTCTCGTGAGGCAGGGGTAAAAAAAAAAAGAATTTCCCCTAGGATAGGAGAAGAACACCTCCAAAGAGGATCACGTGGAAGATTTTTGTGTATATTCTACAGGACCAGAATCAGGATAAACGTGACGGTTACACAAATACAGATTTCAACCAAGGAGATGTTGTGGAAAAAGATTCAAACCTGAAAGCAAGAGATCCAGGTCCCAGTCTATTTTATGACCCATGGGACCTTGGGGCAAGTCATTTAAATTTTAAAAACCAGTACTGTCCAATAGAACTTTCTGCAATAATGGCAATGTTCTTTATCTCTGCTGTCCAATACAGTAGTCATTAGACACAGGTCCAGCACTTGAAATGTGGCTAGTATGACTGAGGAACTGAATTTTTTTTTTTTTCCTTTTTGTCTCTTTTTTTGTGACCGGCAACGGATCGCAACCCCCAGTGTCGCGCCCCTACCGGGCCGGGACCGGCAACGTGATCGCAACCCTCGGTGCTGCGCCCGCACCTTGCTCTGCCAGTGAGCGGCTGGTCTGTATGTGGGATCCGAACCCTTGACCGGAGCGCCGCTGCGCTTCCCAAGCGGCACGCCACCGGGCCGGCCCATGAACTTTTAGTTTACTTAAATTTAAATTTAAACAGCTACATGTAGCTAGTGGCTACAGTATTTGGAAGGCACAGCTGTAAGCCTTAATTTTCTCCTTTCTAAAATGGTAATAATAATTCTGATCAAATTGTTGACTTAAGGATCAAATGATAATATATGTGAACTCCGAAAAACTGTAAAGTACTATAGAAGTGTTAATTATGTTGATAGCTATTTTATTATTGTATTATCTTCAAGAATTTCTAATATTTGGAATTAGAGGAAAATGGAATAAGCAGCCTGAGAAAGTAGTGTCCCCCATGTCTGGTTTTCAAATACAGGATTGAGGCAGGCAGATGTTAGAGAAAGAACGAAAACGTCCTGGAGAGTTGGGCTAAAACATCCTTCACGTTCCTGAGTAGACCTCTAGGAGGTTCTCCCTTACTCCCAAGATGGAGTTAATGGACTTAAAATGGAGTTAATAATACCTCTAGGTATCATCAGGACACTTTTCACACTATTATAAAAAACGATCTGTTTCCTCCATCTGTGTTTGAGAACAGGCGCCTCTTAAACCTGTGTCCTTCACGGTTGTCAACCGCCGGGCACATAGTAGATCCTCGATCCATCTCTGTTGAATGATCAACTTAACCTTGTACTCGTGAGGGTATGGTTCTCTGATCATAACTGAAGTAACTACTAATTTGTGGGAAACATGACAGCTCTTTGCGGACGATGTGGATGAATACCGACTGCCGCAAGGGCGCAGTGGACTATCTCCGGCGTCAGGAGGCCTGCCAGCGACGACCGCTTCCTCTCGCCCTTTTCCTCCCTCCTGCCTGCAGGATTCAGAGGAGCTCGAGGTCACGAGGTCGCGGCAGTCCCCGCCGTCGTGCGGACCAACGGGACGCGCAGGGGGAACTACATTTCCCAGCTGACTCTCCTGCGCGCGCCCCTGCCCGCCCGCGCGCGGGGGGCGAGTGCACCGGGCGCTCGCTCCCTGCCGAGCGCTCGTCGCCCGCTGGAGCCTTTGCCAGGAGATGAGGTGGGAGGCGCTAGAAGGCACTTAGCTACAGCCAACCGCCCAATGCAGCACTCGCTCGCTCCCCCCGCCAGCGGAAGCGCCCGCGGAGCACAATGCCCATGCAGGCGGCGGCGGCTGCGTCCGTGCCCTTCTTGCTGCTCTGCGCCCTGGGGACCTGCCCTCCGGCGCGCTGCAGCCGGGCAGGTAAGTTCGCCACCCTCGGCGGCTTCGGGACGTACCATTTTCCGGGAATCTTTGGAGCCCCAGGCGCATTGAACAAGGAGCATCCCCATTTCCCGAGTGCGCGGGGAGATTTTTTTATGTAGAAGGGTGGTGAGAAGTGGAGCCGAAATTTATGTGTGGGGGCGCGCGGATGCATTAGAAGCTTTCGGTCCAATGCCTGTTTTTCTTCTATTGAAGAAGAGCGACGAGGAGGATGGGAAAGGGGTGCCCTGTTCCTGGGCCCGGTCCTGGATGCTCTCAGATGAGCCGGTCCAAGGCTCTCCGGCTGGTGTCTCTGCGTCCTTTCCAGGGAGGGGGCGGCGGGATCTTCCTAGGGAAGACGTCGGACCGCAGGGTGGAGGAGTGTAGGTCAGAGGCATTATTTTCGCCTTTTCTCTTTACTCCCTCCTGCCCCCCCTTCTGCTTGGAGGAGACGCCTCACTGACGGAGCTGGAGAAGAGGAACGAAAACCGCTTCCTGGAGCGCCAGAGCATCGTGCCACTGCGCCTCGTCTACCGCTCGGGCGGTGAAGACGAAACTCAACACGAAGCGCTTGACACGCGGGTGCGGGGCGACCCCGACGGCCGGCAGGTGAGAGGCGCGGCCCGGCCCACCCGCGACCCCACGTTTACTCTCTGTTGCCCTGGAGACGCGGTGTCCCCGGTCAAATAAGCGCAATCCTAACGCGAGTCAGGCATGGACCTCCCTGTGCATAAAAGAAGGGGAAAAGGGGACAAAAAGGAACCCAAAGAACCGCAGACAGAGGGATTTGCTGCAGGGGAGTTTGTGCAGGATGTCTCCAGCAGTGCGGTAACCTGAGCGAAGGGGCAGAGACCCTCTCACCTCCGTCAAGAAAAAGCCGTGCATAGGGGAGAAAGGAGATAGCATTGGGGCAGGGTTTGCATCATCATCGTTGTTGTTTTGATTCTCGAAGAGGACACTTTATAAGTGATTTAACCCAAGATTGTTACTGTAGAAAAATTGGGGGGAAAAAAAGAAGGCTAGATGTTCCTAAGAAACTCAAACTGAAAAAGTAAGCTAAACTTCAAGGTTCTCTGCTCGCTCAGATTTACGGACACCTGAGTTGTGCCCACTCACCTCTACCTTCCAGAAAAGGTGTCCTTCTCCCCCTTTCTTACATGGTAACAGCCCTATTGGTGTAATTAGGGCTGTGTTGCTTATTGAGTTTATGTAAGTTGTATTTTAAAAGCTTAGTTTGTCATGGCACCTGTATTTAGCTCATTATCCCACATCCACAGTGAGGCCTGCAAATTATTTTGAACTTACTGGCTAATTTCAGTAAATAGTTTTGGGGCTATGTAAAAAAATTTTTTTTTGTATTTATGTACGATAAGGCAGGCAATTTACCCATCTGTAAGTACATATTAAGATAGGACTTGTTCATGTAGTTGAAAATTTTTGTAAACTTCACTGAAGCAAAGGCAAGCCGAACATTTTTACATGTGTAAAATGTATTCGTCAATACTTTAAGATATATATATATATATATTTTTCCTGCACCCCACAAAAGCATCAAGATATATCTTGGGATGGCTGGTTAGCTCAGTTGGTTAGAGTGTGGTGCTGATAACACCAAGGTCCAGGGTTCCATCCCTACACTAGCCAACCACCAAAAAAAAAAAAAAAGATATGTCTTGGTGAAGTGATAGTTATACTAACATGTCTGTGTGTAAAATATGTAGACATAGAAAAATATTATTTAAATCCGTAGCCAAATACTTGGTCTACTAAAATTTTAATATAAGTAGGAAATTAATTTAAAGGGCTACAATAGTATCCACCGAAATTAGATATTGTAGTAGAAAGTCTAATATGCCAAGTCTTTAATAAAGGATTCTGTTATTTGAACTAATGTTAGGTAAATGCTTGTTTTCCCCTTCCATTTTGACTTTTTTCCAGGTAAAACTCAAGAAGCAGGGGACACACTTTTTCTGTCTTCTTCAGTTAATTAGGATTATTTCTGTGGAGGAATATTCTCACACATTTGCAACCTTTGATTATAAAAAAATTTCAAACACACCCAAAAGTAGACAGAATAATATAATGAACCCTCAGCTTCAACAATTACCAACTCAGAGTCAATGTTGTTTTATCTGTATCCTACCTATTTTCTTCCCCTTCTTGTATTATTTTAAAACAAATCATATAATTTCATTCATTAAAAATTTCGGTAATGTACCTCTAAAGAGTAAGTATTTTTTAAGAAATGTAACTATGGGGCCGGCCCGGTGGCGCACTGCTACAGTGCGCCGCTTGGGAAGTGTGGCGGGGGCCCCCCC